GCAAATAATTCAATTATGTAACTTATTATAATTAATTATTTTACAAAAATGCTTAGTGAGAATGAGATTTAAATATTATTATTAACTAAAATAATGATGCAAAATAGATGTAAAAAACTCGCTGAAAATATGTTTATCATATCAAAATTAGCGAATTTAAATGTATGTATTGTATGTAAAAAAGATGGAAATGTGCGGACCGCGCTTGCAGTGATTAAGAGCCTATTTTTTTTTTTTTAACATAAATTTTAAAATTTTTTGTCATTCACATATTAAGATAATAATTTTTTTTGTAAAACGACTAATCACTGCAAATGACACGCCTCTTCATGTATATAAAAATAAATGCTGCCTTATGATTCCTTCTATTCTCAATTATACGTACTACTTATGGTATACTTACTTATCTACACCATGTATTTAATGCATATTACATTATATTTAAATTTTAATATTTATTTTAAATTAATAGGCGACTCTAAATAATTTAAGCTTAAGCTTAAAATAAAATTTTCAAAGTGTTTGATATTTTTTTAAATATTTATTTAGCTTTTTACGCGTTGTGTAAACATTTGTATATAAGCGAGTTGAATGAATGCGACATAAATATAATTAATTTAACCTAAATATCTAATACTAATAAGTCGAGGTGAAAGAAATCTAAGCGCAAAAAGATGCATATAAAATAAAAACTAAATCAAATATATAATACTTGTTTTTATTTTTGAATTTTTAAATTTAGAGACGTTTTCGATTCACCATTTCCCGATCTTCTCTTAAAAATTGTTTGGTCGATGAAGCTATCCAGTTGAATTTAGCAAAAAACTCTCTCAGTTGGTATAACAGTTTGCTATTCTTTCACTTTCTCCTTTACATATATCAGTTGCTTGTTCGTTTCGCCACCCTTCAAGGTTTTGATAAATCGAACTGAACTCCACGCTTCTTTGCAAAAGACAAAGCATTAAAAGAGAAGAAAATTACTTCCTCTTAGTATACAGTTTTTGAAAAAACACTGAAAATTTAAATAAAAAGGCTACACCCCAGCGCACTCACTACTTTTACTCTTACACGATTTTGAAGATTCATAAAATTATTCAGCAAGATAGAACAACATAAACCACCTCATATCCGTATACCCTTTCCATCGCCTTCTATATATTGTTTTCTCATATACTTCTTAAGTGTTAACATGAGCATTATGAGCAACCTATATCAAGTAAACTATATTTTTCAATTTTCTAGTATGTTCAATGAAAAACTCGTTGGCATGAATGATTGGATCTTAAGGTGGCTGCCATTAAGAGAAGAGAAAATATTATAAAATTTCTCGTGAAACATTTACTTATGTAAAAGCTTGATTGCTATCCATTGTTAGACTCCATAGTCGGGACAGAAGAGGTAGAGCTCATCCTGTAATTTGTTAGACCCTGGTTTTATTATTTGATTCTGGGACATTGCTTCGTAAGTTTTTTCATATTAGGATACTCGCTCCCCTCTATTGCAAGTTCTATTTCAAAGATTGCGTAGCAGCGAACTGTTACGAAGAAGCGACACGGACTTTGATGGCCCATTCACTTACAAATTACCGCGTTTTGCTTGACAATTCATACTTTATCTGGCCAAGGATATGCCAGAATGAACACTTTGCTTTCTCTCTCTAATAAAAATGGTGGCTGTTGCTTAGCAAAGCGTAAAGAGTTGAGAGTTGCCCAACATTTTGCTTCGCCTTGCTGCGTTTCGCTTCAATGTGAACTTACTCATATAAAAGCATACATCGAACATTTCTGTCAAAGCGAATTACTGACAAATTAGCCATGAGCGTGAAAAGTCTTCGTGTGTGAAAACGGTCTTATATCCAGAAGTTACAATCAGCTCTCTGACTTAAGCACATTATATCTTACAGGTTCGACACAATTTTAGATACATATGTAAGTACATCTCATACCCTCTAAAATTTTATAATTAAAATCTATATTTTCTTTTAATAGCCACGAAGTTTGTGACACTCAAAAAGGAACAAATTTCGATGTGTTTTTTGTGAGTACCTGCCGGCTACAGCCTAACCTCATGATGCTTCCAAACACAGCCGATCAAAAAAATGCGTTGATCAGCGCTCTGAACAATGCAAGCTTTTTGCAAGCATTGTTTGGATATATATTGGTAAGGTGGAAGGGACACATATTCCACCTTGGTCGTGTTCGAGGCCGACCTAAAACCTCTGCCATGCTGTGGGTATGGCACCCGGCCGCCATGCGACTCCACATTGAACTGAATTTTTCAGTTCCTCCCGCATTTAGGTTTAAGCCACAGGCACCACGAATCTCCACAAAGGGCCAAACTCAACGAGCAGATTAAATTGAAATCCAAGGGCTTTCTGCTCGACGTAGTACCAGATTAAATTCTCCACTAAGACCTTGTAGCCGTAGCTACTGCCAGTTGAGCACCTATGAAACTCAATGACTGGGGACACTTGTCGCTTGAACTTCAAATGTCTTTTCATTAGTAAGAATATCATTCAAAGTCTATAATATCAACTCAAGCTGAGTATTATAGCACTATTTCCGACATAAAAAGAAGGGAACGTCAGAGACCCTATAAAGTAGATATATAAATGATGCACATGATGAGCTTAGTTAATTTTGCTATCTCCGTCTGTCTGTATACACGAGAACTAGTTCTACCGTTTTTTTGGACATCAATCTGAAAATTTGCACTCGTCATTTCCATAAAAGGAAGCTGCTCATTTGTCGGAACCACCGATAGCAGACCACTATAGCATATAGCTGTCACACAAACTGAACGAACAAAATCAAGTCCTCATAGGGAAACTTTGACGAGATATCTTCACAAAATATTTTTCAAGGCAACGGTACAAACAAATCATTGATATCGGAGTACTATAGCATATAGCTACCATACAAAATGATTGACCAAAATCAAACCCTTATATGGAAAACTTTTTTATTTGACAAGGTATCTTCCCAAAATTATGCGCGAATTATTGCTCAATGCAACGGTGAAGTCTCCAAATAAATTATTCAGCTGCTATTCAAACTGACCGATCAAAATCCAGATTCATTAATTCGATATGAATCTCAAAATCTCTGTACGTACCGACAGCAACATTCTGATATTCAAGCCCTATTTGTGCTGAAAAGATTACTTTTTCATGACCGGAACCGTTGAATCTACATTAAATATCAAATAATACTTGTGATAACAAATTTATCACAAGCAGCCACGTGTTGAATCATTACATACTAGCATATTTCTAGAATTATTGGGTTAAGTTTCAATAGAGACAATGTTCTGTAAGTAGTTTTTCGAGGAGTATTAAATTAATGAAATGTTTTGACTTAAATCTTCATTTGTTGTGGATTAGGTTGATTTCTATGCTCATTAATTGAAAACTCAATCTGTTGTTATTAAAATTTTATTTAATTAATTACTAAATTAATAAATATTACTAAATTTATTAAATATCATATAATAATTGTTTTTCATTTCTGAAATTACATAATTGTCAATTTCTGTGCTAAACTGTTAAGAAGTTGATTTGCTGCAACTTCCATCTTTCATTGAGAATGTAGTATCGACAGAAGTGTTGCCAGACTTTAGTAAATATTTGAGTGTTAAGATTTCATTTGAATGATACCTTTTTCTAAATATATATCTCTATAAGTTTATGAGGATTTAGTAACATTAATTTGTATTTATCTACATACTTATACATACACATATATATATATTTGTAAACGTATCATTGGAACACAGGGCGTCGAACATTATATATATAAGTAAATCAATTCTACTGCAAAGGAATTAATATACATAATAATAATATCCTAGATATTAATAAATGACAATATTATTAGAATACTAATTATAAATATAATAATATTAATGAATATGATTAATTGTAAATAACTTTATGATTTATTTATTCTAAATAGTACCAAAATAAATATTTTTTACAATTAATTATTATACAATAATCAAAAAACTATTAAGCAAGGAAATTTTTTCTTTCCAACGTATATACAAATAAATTTTAAAAGAGTTTTTTATACATTTTTATAGACACGTGTGTACATAAAAAACATATATTTTATATCCTCATATAATGTATTAAGTTGTTTTCTGTATGTTAAATCATAAAACGTGTAATAATTTGTTTATCTAACCACAAAAATAGCTACGGTTGCCCGGTTCCTTGTTTGCTGAGATATATTAATCTAAAATTATTTTTTCCATACTTTATATGTGCTTACTTGCAAAATATGATATTTTTTCCTGTCGCAAGACCACAAATGTCGTTGCATTTCTAATGTTCAGTGTGAAAATTGTCGCATTCCCACAATTTATGTGCAAACTTTTGCGATAAAGAAATATATTTCAAGTAAATCTACATTATTTATATAGTTTATTAAGTTTATCAATATTTTGTTTAGTATTTCTTAATAAAATAAAAAAGACCAGTTCCTGTAAGAAAAAAATTATATCGAAAACGGAAGCTTTGGTACGTTAGATATACAAAATGACATATTTATATACCTTTTCACAACAAAACGAGAGAATAAATAATGATTAGGTAATGCCTAGCAAGAAATGTTTGCAAATAAAATACGAATGACAATTTCCTAAAATTTTAAAATCCAAAAATAATAAAATTTATTTAAAACGCCGTAAAATTTACATTTCCAAAGCAAAATTTGTGTCAGAAAAGCATAGCTTCATTTGCGCCTTTTAATTAAATTTTACTTTATTTATTAAACACAAGAATTTGAATTATATTTTATATTTCCAAAGTCACAAAACTTACATTTCTCTCACACCAAACTACTGTACATTCTACACTGTAAATAAATCATTGTGAAAATGCGTAAAATTTTCTTAATAAATCAATTTAAATTTCTTCATGGCACTCTGTATTTTTCGCACACACCAAACCGTTCCTACTCACACACCACAGCTTAGTGTGGATTTCAAGAGCCAGCCATTTTGAAACGAGACTCGTCGGGCTACAACAATGCCGCTTGAGCTGAGCCACATTTCAAGTGTCTGTTTCATTTGTACTCTGTTTTATATTTTTCTTAATGCCCACAGCATTTCTCTCACTGCACATACATACGTGCTCTCTTTGTGCCGCCGCTTGCATGCGCTACGCACACGCTCTCAACGCTCATGTTGGTGGTGGCGCGCAGCTTGAATTTACCCTGACGAGCTCGACTTGGCCGCCGCGCGCTCATAATAGTTTGTGACGCGAAGTGAGTAGTGTTTATTGTGTTCGTTTGCCGGATGGACGGTTGTAGTTGATGATGGCGACGGTTTGAATAAAAATACAATTTCAAACAACAACAACAAACAAATACTGCACTGCATTGTAGTACTGCAATAACAAAACAGTGAATGTGCATGCAATTTTCGAGTGCAGCAGATTTGTGTTAACGCGTTTAAAAAAGCAAAAGCTAATTTGTGAATTTACAATTGAAATTGCAAAAAAATAAAAAGAATTTAGTGAAACTGCATAGAATTGCAAATAAATCCGTGTACAAGATATACAATTTGTTTGTGTACATTATAGCGGAGAGTGAAATGCAGCTGCAGGCGACCATCAGCACCTTCCATTAGCATTACAGCATCGTCAGCGCATAGCGAAAGCATCAGCGCCGTCGTCGCCGCTTGCTAACAAAAATGTTGTTCGTCCATGTAATAGCCGCTCGAGCTTGTCTCATGGGTCGCGTTGGAATTTAATTAAAATTAAATTCATCCGGTTAAACGATACCAAGCTTTGGTTAATTCTGCACTTGAAAAACAAATAAGAAAAAACGAAAACAACGGAAGATCGGCTAAAACGAGTATGTTACCGAAAATCAACGAGTAATATTGAACGAAAATTGTTGTAAGATAAAGGAAACGACTGTATAAAAGAAATAAAATTAAAAAGTGGGTGATGTAAAGTGAAGAAAGCCTAAGCATAGGCATGTAAATGTAGGAAGCAACAAATTAAAGGAATGAAAAATAAATATTGGAGTAAAGCAGTGTGCACGGTGTACGCATACACTACCTTTTTTGATACTAGAAGGATAATATAATATCCCAGATAATTTGCAAGTATTATTGAATTTTGATATGGCAAAATATATGTACATAGATATGTATCTGTAGTGAAAAGTGTCAAAAAGCAAAGCGCAATTGAATGATTTTCAAATAATAGCATATCTTTTCCAATTTAAAGTACTAAAACAAATTTTTACATTAAAACTCAAAAATTTTGTAAAAATCAATTAGTTCAAAAAGAAAACAAATTAAAAAAAGTATCTCAAACAATTTTTGAAGCTTACACTGCTAACAATTCATGTCTTAAAGTGGAGTTAAAAAAAAATAAAATAAATAAATAAAATAAAAATCAAATTATTATTGAGCATAAATAAGCAACCGATTCGAAAGAAATATGTATTTAAAATTTGTGTAATTTAAAAGAAAATATTTGAGTTTCATGAAAAATTTTATCATTACAAGACTTCAAAGCGGTACTTTCATCATAAGTGCGGCAACGCATGCGCTTTGGTGTACTCATTAAAACTTTTAGAAGTTTGATTCGTCAAGCATTCCAAAAAGAGCGAAGCATTTAGAAAATTTTCGTTTCACGGGCAAGTTATACAAAACTGGATTATCAAAATGTGGCTGTTGATCAACAACAACACATTTCCCAAATCGGATATATTTTGGATAAAATTGCTTATCAGTCTGCTGCTGATTTGTGGGTTTATTGGCGGCGGCAATGCAGCGGGTGAGTGTTATTTACTAAGAATTACTTCAGTGCTTTTTTGATTATATTTAGAAATAATTATTTTAGTAATAATATTTTCTTACTACAAAACATTACAATCCATTTTCAATACATATGTATACAACTCTTCAAAACTCTTTTATGCATGCTTACTTCAACTCGGTATCTATCTACCTTTCGAAAGGTATCTTCCTTTTTGCCAACCTCTAATAATGTTATACATTCTTTGTCTACGTTCATCTAAGTTTTCCTACTTCATTGTTTTCACAATTTTAGCTCCTCTCATATAATTTACGTTGTTTCTCCTTATACCATATTCTTTTCGTTTCTATCACCTTTTCTTTTAGGCTAACCTTCCGTCATAGCCGCAGTCGTTGCATTTTCTTCTTTTTTGCTGCGGTCACCGTTTTCCATTGCTGGCTTAATGTTGTTGTTATTGTTGTCGTCACTTTTGACTGTTGTCTTGCCTTGCTCTCTTATGTTCGTTCGGTTTGTTTCTTTTAAACCACTCGCTTGTGCGCTCAGCAATCTGCTCAGTTCAAATTCTCCTAACCACTTATTTGTCAGGCCAGGCAGTCAGCGAGCCAGTTAGTCAGTCGGTTTTTCGTTCAGCCATTTTGTTTCCGTCTATTGCAGCAAATCTGGATCGAGACTCGTTCAGGATCATATTGCCTTCAGTAGCATACATATACACTCACAGACACATTTGGAAATTCATGGCTGATCGCTTGCAGTATTCTACTTGCCACGAAATCTGTACTGAGCGTAAATGCTTGTATCTGTGTGTGTAAATGTAGGTGTGCAAAGGTGTGTGTAAATGTTGTAGAGAGATTTCAGCGAAATGTTTGTTTCTAACTAAAAATCTATCCTAATTGAGTTCTGTGGAATTCATTCATTGGCATATTTGTTGATTAATTTTTGGTGCTTAAAATTTATTATTCTTATTTTATTTTGGTTTGAAATGAATATAATCAGCCATTTTGAATGATTATTTGAATGCGTATATGTATACATAAAACATTAATTTGTTATATGCCTCAATTTTTAATATTATGAGCAAAAGAGTACAAGGCTATAAAAATACCGTTGTTTTGAAATTTCTATACAAAATAATATATGTAATATTGTATTATGCATACATATACTTACTACTTGTATATTTCAAAATGGAAGAAAATTTTACTACCTATAAATATTAAGTTTATTAAATTTATTTATTTATTTCTTAAGAGATAGTATATCTCTATCCTCTAAAATTATATATTACTAAATAAAAAATTGTATTATTAAATTTATCTAGTGTATTATTGTAAAAATAATAATTATTTTTGTTTTTTATTAATATTTTTAATGGTTAATGGTTCTTTATGGATGGTATTATTATAATTATTTATTAATAATTTTTATATTTAAGTATCTGTAATATTTATTCTTTGTTCAATTTCATACTTAGTAACCATATTTTTGGCTTAATTCCATAAAGTTTTACGTAACAAAGCTCATTTTCAAATACGTTATGAATATAAAATTGTAATATTTTTATTACATGTTCATTACATAATGTTTTGTATTTTCGTTATATCATTTTCTACATACATAATTTTTAACATCATATTATATATTTTTTAATATTTCTTTTTATATAATTATCATTATGTGCTTAATTTAATTATCTATATAATTATTATGCATTGCATACTTTTATTTAAACCATTTTTATTTTTATATTCACCCGCAAAACTTTCCCACACAATTTTTCCCAGCGTTGCCAATGATATTTATTACGGCTCTTAAAAATTTTAATACTTTAAGATATTGCTGCCTTTTGCAGTCATACAAATTGCCACTTAATCTATTTGTAAACATATTTTAATGCCAGAAAGCTGCATTTTCGCATTTCAACTCTTCAAAAATAAATAAGATTCACTAAAAAATACAGGTACTTGCCAAATTTTTAGTTGTTAAGTGCAAATCTGCCGATTGCTTATCACTCTGCCGATTGCTTATACTCAAATGAAATAAATATTTAATTTTCCAGTGGCAAATTTCGCTGATTAAATTCGGGATGTGAGAATAATTATAAGAGTAGGGGAAGCAAAATAAACTTGTTTACAATTTTTAAAGTTGCAGCGGTTAAGCACAGAAAATTTTTTTGAATTAAATTATACTTTTCAATCATTATGAAAATATTAAGCTCGCAGAATGTTCGATTCGCCACTTCAAATTCAAATAACTCTTTAAAATAGTATAATTTCTTCCTAAGCAAACTCTTGTTATTGTGCTGATATATGCCGATCTAAGCAAGTGGTTGTTCGTTTGGTTTGTTTTGGCGTATCGAATGCAGCTATTGTTTTTCATGACCCTGTAAAGTTTTTAAAAAACATATATTTTTTTATTCTGTTCGCTTTATAACAAACTTTTGAAAATCGCTGTTTAAAACTTATAAATATTCTATGCTTTTTGCTTAATAACAAACTCTTTAGAACCTCTGTCAAACTACGTAGAAAATGTCATTAAAGAAAGAACCTAATGCGTCAAAAACGTGACGCACAAATTAACAATAACCTGTCGTTAGACCCACATATAAATATGTGTATATACATATTGTATATCAGTATCTTTACACGTGCACCGTGCTAGGCGCTCCACTGCGCATGCGCAAAGACGAAAAGTCGTTTACTTTATTGACAAACTTCTAAGCCAAGTCTAATGAAGCCGCACAACCATACTCACACACATATGAGAGAACACACCGCAAAACATGCATACAAGCGTAGACACAGAAGTTTATATGTATGCACATACGTATGTACATTTATTGGTTCATTCATTGCCTAAGGCAGGGGAATTTTTATGTGTTTTTGTATAACAAATACTTTGCGGCGTTTTTCTTTGTAATTAACTATTTTGAAATTGCCATTACACCGTCTATATGTATGCATATATATAAGCTCAACACAAACAAATATGACAGCAATGTGTATGTAGATATGCCGCAGCAGTATACCAATAAGTTCCACGGCCGCCCTTTTACCATAATCACATGCTGGCGACTCGCCTCTTGGCCAAACGCTTTAGACGCCGTTTCCCTTTACTTGACTCAAATTTATGTATGTATGTGTATGTACTTAAGCCTGTTGTTTGTCACTCACAGACAGGAAATTTAACAAGCAACACACTAAATACTCCACAATGGAAAAATAATCATAAAAATAATAACAAAAACACACAATCAAACGGCGCATAAATGTGTAAATGTGAAAAAATGCGCTTAAATATTTGCTTAGTCCGCTCTTGTAAACCATGTTTTAGTGCGCCTCATCTCTCGCTTTCCGGAGAACTCTACTGGTTTCATAAGATCGTGGTTTGTTATACCCTGTATCGGGTATATTAAGTTTGCCATTTGTAACATCCAGAAGGAAACGTAGGAGACCTATAAAATATGTACATAAATAATCAGCGGGGACTAGAATCAGTTTTTGAGATATCGATCAGAAAATTTTGCAAAAGTTATTTTCTCTCCAAACAGCTACCCATTTGGCGGACCCGCCGATATCGGAGCACCATAGCTATGCCATACACTCTGGTTCGATCAAAATCAAGTCCTTATATGGGAAAAAATTTTATTTGGCGAGATTTCTTTACGAAACTCGACATAAATTATTGTTCAAGGAAACGGCACAATCTTCGAGCAAATCGTTGAGATCGGAACACTATAGCATATGCTTAGCTATCACCTAGACTGATTGATCAAAATCAAGTTTTTGTATGGAAACTTTTCTATTTGTGAAGGGTATTGCAGCTGCGGTGCAACCGAAGTTAAATTTTTTTCTTGTTTTTTATTACTTTTGTGCTTGTTGGCGCTAATTTACTTAAAATATCAGTATGTATTTTTGTAGTTTTCCCTTCTTTTGAAATACATTTTATGTTTCTGCATTATATGTAATGCTACGTTCAGTTAGCACATCGCCCCTAATCATATGTCAATAATTTGCATTTTTGCAAAAAACAAAAACAATATACTTATCAGTTCGCACTGACCAAAGTTTGCTGACACCGTTTGAAAAGCAACAACATGCTTCAAAATAACGCTATTAGTAACTATGTAAATACACATATGTACATATGCACATGTATATAGTATATTATAATATATATATATGCATTTATCTTATTTGTCTGCGCTGACATAAAGCTTTTATTAGCGTTTCTTTGCTTTTCCGTTCATTCACTCATTTATTATTGTGGCAATCAATAAGCCATTCTTAACTCCAAACCCCAAAAAATGCATAGCTGGTATTCAGATAAATATAGGTATATATATATATATATATGAGCGAAAGTGTGTACATGTGCCAAATCGTGCGCCAAGCACAGGATCGCCATCACGCCTGCGCCAAAGCCCACCATCAAACGTCAATCGGCAAACGGCGGTGGCGGCAGCACTCCGTCAGTCAGCCTTCAACCAGCACTTAATCGTCAAGTAATGCTTCCAGACACTCAATGCTCGTCATTGTTTCCGAGCGGAGCCTAGCACTCGTTTTGACGATCGCGCGTCGTCGTCCACGTCGTTGATAAATGCCCGTAGATAGTGTGTGCAAATAGTCACGCTTATGCTGTTTTCTTGATTGCATATTTTGTTTGCTCACATGTATCGATTGTATATACATATGTACATATTAATATGTATGTAGCCTGTAGTCACTTAGGTATGCAAGCACTTATGCTTGTAGGCAAACAGCTATTTCCTGGCATTTCCTCTTTTACTATGTTTATTTTCATCTTTTTTATTCGCTCATTTTTTCTATTTATCCACACTTGCTTACATACATATGCTTTGGCTATTGCTTTGTGCCGCCTAATCCACTACTCAAATATTTACTCGGCTGGTTAAGTCTGCTTTATGGCTTTGCTATGCAAATTCCCTCAAACAACATTCGCAGCTCATCATTTCACTTGCTTCAGTCCATTCGTTAATGCACTCGCCTTCTTGGCCTGTG